CAAATTATGCTACTTGCCTTATTATAAAACAGATTTCTTACCAGAGTATCCACGAAGCTGAACAGGCTCTAGGCATATTGATGTTCACAGCAGGGGCAATTGTTTCATTTAATTTGGTGTAAAAAGGATGGGGTACGTGATTAGGAAAATATTTACTATACATGTTGTTCATTGTATTATATTCTAGCTGATACATTCAGCTAGAATATATACTATATATATATATATACACTATATATATATATAATCTAGCCGATACTATTTTTTTAGTTCAGTGTTTTTAAACTTTTTGATTAAAGGACTGTCAAACCTTTCTGGAGAAAAATAAAATGTAAAAAAGCCATCTTGTGTTGAACTTCTTGTGATATGTGTGTCTGAGAAGAAAGCTTTAACTTAACAATGTTACTGTTTTACAAAACTGTAATTTTTTCTAATAGCATACACTGTTTACAGCATCGAATATTCTTTCTCATAGATGGAATATGAAATTATTGTAATATACATTGTAGAGGCAATAGAATTTCAGCCCACCTAATAGCTTCCTATAGATATGGAGAGCCTCCATTTCTCCTGTTTCAGTGTCTCACCTTGCTGCTGGCTGCATAAAAATGGTATCACTTCTCGTATTTATGTTTTTTTGGCTCAACAAGTTGACTTGGCTCAACAACGTGTGTGAAGACCACTATCTTCAGTGCAAGGGAGAAAGTAGGACAGCACAGCCAGGAACAAGAGGCAGGCGGACAGACACAGGGCTGTTTCCTTTCACTGAAGGTAAGCAATTAGTTCAGCTTAGTTGTAGCATATAACCTCGCCTTTAGAATAATTCAATTTTATGGCAACATATAAAGCAAAGCTATCAAATTATTTGAGAAAGAAATGAACAGGTCCTGTGCAAGTGAAAGAACGACCTTCACCTTGAGAAATGGAAGGATTCTAAAATGACTCAGTGCTTTCACACAAGCTCTCTTTATCGGCACTCTTCAGTTCTTGTATAAACGTGAACCTCAACAGGATGCTGGTCTTTCCTTTGAACCAATGATCTGTCAGTGCCAGGGGGCTTTGAAAGGTTGCGGTTACTAGACACTGGGTGCTTAGTTTTACCGTATATGCCATTTATTGGAAATATGCTAGACTGTACAGTTTAACTGCAAATATAGACCACAATAGACAGATCAGCAGTTTTCCAAAACAAACAACTGGTTTACATTTATAGTTAACTGCTCTGTAACTGAACAGGTGCTGACACCCATTGTCGGCAAGAAGAAATACTTCTCAGGTAAATTAAGCCTTTTTAAAAGTATTTCATTTCTATTGCCGACTGAAGAAAGCGGTATTATTTTAGTGTTCATATAGACACGAGTCTTTTCAGTGTCACAGTAAATGTAGGATTTTGCTTTCTTCCACAGTAGCAGCTTTCATCATTTCAGATTGTCAAAAGCAGTACCTTGCAGAACACAAGAGTAGTAGGCAATTAGCGAGGTGCACAAACACAAGCCTTTACCAAGTTCAGAGTGCAGATGGGTACATGGAAGCCAGACAACTACACAGCACTGAAAAAATTTAAAACCCTATAGATGTGTTCTTCTTAGAATGCCTTGCAGTTAATGTAAAACAGTTAATCCATTATACTGCTGCTTTAGCCATCCCAAGACTGTTTAAATCAAGAAGCGAAGGACAAGGTGAGTGTAATTTACAGTAAAAAAATCTTTACTAAATTAACACCAAAATCCCACTACGGGTATGGCCAATTCTTGTATCAAACCTGGGGAAAAGTAATTTTTGCGTTCTTTGTTTCAACTTTTAGACACAAATCAGGTAAGCAGTTCACTCAGAAGAATCTTTCCATAGGCATACGGCTGCGTCCATATAAATATTTGAGAATTCAAGAGCACTGTGTTTCCATTAGAACCAGCAGATGATGCAAGTGTTCACTCTCAACAGAAGAGGGCATTAAGCTTGCCAAGACCTCCACGTCCAGCTACTGCAATTTAAACTTCTGGTTTTAAGTTAACTGTAAAAGCATTTCCGGATGCAGCTTGCTTTAGAAGGATGCTTTGGAGACTTGTAGCGTGTCCGTCCTCCTGGCAGACATCCTTAGTAGCTGTGTTGGAGTACTTAAGTACTTAAGGAACATGAGAAAGTAATTCAAAATAATTAAGACCATGAACAGCAATGAAACCTAATGATTTATTACTGAAAACTTCAGAAGGGGAGCAGTGAGAACAGGAGATTTAACAGTGCCATCTTAAAATATTCTCCAGGCCATTGAACTTTGGATCTAAAGCTTACTCACTTCTGTTCTATTTCTCAGCAAAGTTATATGGGCGAGTTTGAAGTTTCACTGATTTAAAAGCCTAAATCTGCAGATAAGGTATAACACGAATCCATTTAGGCAAGCTGAAGCAGGTAGGGATCCACCAGAGACCACATCACCGATTCATTCACACCCCATTCCTCCACCTCTGCCCCTTCCGTCCCCCTCCCCTCTTCCATTTTTCCTTTTTTCTGGTCCTCTAGTTCTGTCCCTCCAGCTGTAGCTCCTTTCTCCTACCCAACTCCTCCAATTCCTTCTAACCACCAGAACACACAGCTTCTCCGCACTACCTCAGGTCACACTCACTGCAGTATCGGTGCATTCATCCATAGCACCCTACAACGTTCATCAGAGCGTTGCCAGCCATGACACAACCCTGCAGTGCACTGCGGCGTTGATCTGCAGGGAACATACGCCTTGCTGAAGTGGCTAGCAAAGAAACCATCTGACCACGTATGCATCTACTTCTTTCTCCTGCGATGGGACAGCACAAACTTGTAATTGCTGCACACACAGTCCCCCACTCCCCGCCAAGCAAAGCTTCTTTAGGTGGAGTCTCCTATTGTGAGAATTGTGGGCGAACAGGCAAGCTGTTACGTGACTGTACGGACCCAAACATTCTGTTCTCTTCTGCTTTTAACAATAGCGAGCATTAGATTCCACGTGCAGAGACACATTCCTTAACAGGTCAATTGTAGCGTACAAATCTCAGTCTGTAGACTGAAAATCTTGCCACAGGATCTAGCAAACTGTGAAATCTGGTCACTAGTTATTGTGTCAGATTTGTGGAAAAGCAGTTATTAAGAAGCAAAAGAGACCACAGCAGCTGTAAACGTGCATTTTAGGATATGCATTTTAGGATATGCATTTCAATAAAAGAAGCTATTAACTCCAGAGTGTTTCTTCACCTTCACCCTCCTGATTTTAGGTTACTCGCCAAGCAGTTAAAAAAACCCAACAAATAGATCAGAAAGTTTCAGGATCTGGCCAGAACTCAGATAAAATTTTATTTAAAAAGCGCCACGTACAGAAAGCTATACTCCCTGACAGAATGAGAATGCAGGCATATAAATAAAATAGAACAAAGAAAATCATGATCTTTCAAGAAGTTGTTGAATGCTTGCAAAAATTAAAGTTTTTTTCAGTGCAAGGGCAAATGGTGAGTTCATACTATGCAGTCCTTAGTGCAGAAAAATGAGGAAAAGAAAAAAATTGACTTTAAAATGCCAAGTGATGCTAATGGCTAAACAAACATTTAAAACCAGTTTCAAGCATTGAATCTTTATCAGAAATGATGGTACAGTTTGGCAGAAGTTTCACACACTTTTTAAATTTAAATGCTATTTCAATTGTAATAATGTCCTGTAAAAGCATGGCAAACCTCAATGATTTCGATTTATTAAGGTAGTCTCAAACCATTTCTTTTTAGAAAAATATTTAGAATAGTTAAATTTTTAGAAGTTATATATATACCTGTTCCCCCTCCCCCCACCAAAATTTAAAGAAGAATGTGTTCACCCTGTGTTACAGAAGATTGTGTTCCCATGTGTTTACCACTTAAAGTAAGTTCTCGTTCTCTATATAGCAGACACTATTCAACAGGCAATTCTGATATAACAGAAATGGCACGCAACATAAAATGTGCTGGAACAGGTGACATTGCAGTTCTTAAAGGCTAAGAGAGAGTCTTGAAATTACTTGTAAGCTTAGAATCAAAATTCCAGGAAAAGCCTCTGGCACCAAAATACAAGCACCAGCTAATTCAGGGCTGCGTCTTTCCATTTTTCCTTCACACTGAAGGAGCCTCATGGGGCAGAGAGCCTCTGCTGGAGTCAACGGGACTCCCAGCAGACTGGTACGCTACGTGAGGACGGATGTCAAGGTCTGACCGTTAAGTTCCCACAGCTAATGGCTGGTGACAGTACCAAGAACCTACAGCGAGTACCAAGAAACAAACACAAACTGTAGAGAACTTTTTATTCTCAAAGTCTTCATTTTAAGAGCCTTGTATTATGAGCAAATTAGTTCAAAAGGGAAAGGACCTTCTGGAACCTAGAACACTTATGTTTAAGTTAAAGGACAACACAATATTCAGTTGATGCAACAGGTTATTTTTGGAGCATGATCAAGTTAATGACTGTATCATTAACGTTCTTTAATATTACTTTCTGTTATGTTTAGGTATCTGTCTCTTTAGCCAACTTCACAAAGGTTTTTTAGTCCTTTAAGCAGTTCTTTGAAATTTTGAAGTGAACACCTACTATTCTTAGATGCCCTAGCAGCTTGCAAGATTTTAAGGCTCTACGCTTATTGCAGCCCTTTATTTAATGGGCTTTTAGAAATGGAGATGCTTATTCTAGAAGTCTAAGATAAAATTTTATTTTAAGTTACTGTACGTTCAGCTCATTAATGCCACCTTTAGGAACAGAACTTAGGTCTTAGTAGATAAGAGACACTCTGTATGTTTTACCTATATTGACTGAAAAATAATTTGAGTACCATGCTAGCTCAACCAGTCAAACAAGTTAAAAAGCTTATCAAAAAATACTTTGTACATTATTTTGTATTTCAAGCATCAAGTAATAAACTTTCTATTAAACCAAGTTGTATCACACAACTATCAAAAATTAACAAACAGAACAATGCTGGAACAAACCATTCTGCTTAATTTTGGGCTTGGTCCCAAAAGAGGTAGTCCATAAGTCACACAAAGTTAACCTAACATGCCAGTCTCCTCCACCACATGCAGTCTCATCGCTAAATGAGGCCATTTCGTATCTGAAAACATTATAAGTTAGTGTTCATGTAAATACAGGAACTAGAAAATTATTTCTTCATCTGTAACCAGAATTCGGTCCAGCTAAACCAATATATTAACTAGGCTTTGCACATCTGCCTCACTAGTAAGAATTCAGCTTTTCTCCAGATTAAATTTGAAATGTGCCTAATACACAGGTATGCCTTTAAATAACAAAGGATACGTGTATTTAGGTTTGGAGAGAAGCTTCAGATGGTTAAACCCCTTTAGTAATACAGGTATATTTACTATCATTTCTCTACAAATGCTGCTGCTGCCATTGAATTCCTCATGGTTCCTCTTGCTGAAGCTGTGAACTCTTCAAATTCAGCATTCAGTCTATTAATTACCCATTCCAATGCTTCACGGCCCTACAGTTAAAGAAAAGTTTATCAGTGTATAAATCTTAGCAAATAAGTAAATAGGTTAAACCCTGCCTTACTGAAAATGACTAAAGACACAATAGTTGAAAAAGGAAGAAAAGGTACAGAAATACAGGTCTCTGATATTTTTTACTTCAATAACCAGAGTACTGCAGGAACACGTACCGCCTTACATTTCATGAAAGAATTCCTTACGTCAGCAGTGCTCACGTTATGAGCCACAAAAGACTTTTTATCCAGATTTTTTTATCATTCTTGAGGCTGAACTCAAGACAGCTTTGGAATCCCAGAGCATAAGCTCACAACTAAAACACCACTTCATCACTCCCACATAACTACTTCGATCTGTCTGGATGTCTGTCCTTTTTTCAATAGCAAAAATTAATAGATGGCATCAAGAGGGCAGCAAAAGAATGACAGTGCCAGGCTCTTAAGTGAGTGGAGATGTTTTTCCAGTGAAGATTCAGTGAGCTTTGCCAATAATAACTTATCTCCATTCACAAAAGGAAAAAAAAAAAAAAGAGGACATTTGGCAAGCTGAGCATTCAGTCTCTACAGTAAAGTCAGGAGAACTGTGCGGACCCTTCCTAAGATTGTTGACAAAGCCAAGAAGTAAAATCGAGATTGTTATTCCCTTTGTCATTTAGCCGGCGGTGACACACTTCACATATGGGTCATACTTACTTTATTAGCATTGGAGGAAATTGTGTTTGCCATTAGCCCTTCGAGGTAACTGCTGAGACTGACACCTTTTACAGATATTATTGCTTCTTGTGTCAAAACGGTTCTGAAACAGAGAGCAGGAAACTGAATTATTCTGAGTAGTTTAAAAAAGAAAGCATTGCTGAAAGAAACTCGCTACCTTCCCTCATCAGCTTCGTTCTATAACAGAGAACTTCTTGCCCCATAAACACAACCCACTTCCACAGTGCTTAACTGCTTTATGCTTCTACTCATAAAATAAAAATCAGGAGTCCCCACTAAGTCCAAGTGTCCCCTCAACTATTTCCATCTTTAGCAGCAGCAAGTTAAGAGTGGAAACAGCAGGTTTGGAGTGAAGGTATACTGGGAAAAAAAAGTATTAAGACATCCCCTTCAGCAACAGGGATTTAACATTTATGACTGTCACGAGAGAAAAAACCTCTTACGTTAGAATCCCTAGAAAGATCCTTCAGAATTATCACTAGTTGCAGAGTATAGACTCAGCAAGCTCTAAAGTTGCCTTAAAAAAACCCAAAAAACCAAACAAACCCAAACCAAACCCAAACCCAAACCCCACACCAAAACCCAAACCTCCAAACTTATAGACTAAAGGCAGATAACTGTGCCCCTAGCGCAGGTTCTGTGCGCAGGCTGATGGAGAGATCGGAAATAAGGAGCTGGTAACGGAAGACACGTGCAAACCCAGCTACAGACAGGACACAGGACAACTTACTTGTCTGGTTTGTGAGGGTGTGGTTTATAGACAAGCCTCTCATCTACTGACACTAGGTTTGTAAATGAAATCTGTAGGATATAAGACAAGATTACCCCTTGATAAAAACATTAAAGGAATGTAGTAAATAAACCTGCAGATTCAAAACTCATGCTTATATCTGATTCCAACGTTATACTTTTCCTGCAAGTATTAGGGTTGCAGAACAGGACAGAGAAATCTCCAAGTTCAGCACTTGCTGGTCTCGTTGTCTCTCCTTAGGTTTTTAGATCATTTACCAATATACACTACCACACTCACAAGAACATTTCAACAGTGGGATCAGACAGACGGAGCAGTACAAAGAGCAAAATGTCACACCATTAGGACATGGTGACAGCGTACACCAAAAGGCTTTTAAAAATTTTTTCTTAACACCCCCCCTGCCCCAAAACTACACCTCTCCTGCTCATCGGTATGTTCAGATGCCCCGGTCCTGACAAGTTCAAAAAACCTAGTAGCTCCGTTCTGAAAAATGGAACCTGTCAACTATAAACACATTACTTAAACCTTTAGCTTGTATTGTTCTAATGCCATTTTCAAGTCATCTTCAAGATGACTTTCCTTTTCAAATTACAAAGAATTATTACAACCTGTAATCTATTTCAATTGCATAAACGCAGCTACTTACATTACTGGATTTAAGCTCCATTGTTTTTTTCACCGGGTCAACAACAGAGTGCTCCTGAACGTATGTCTTTGTTCTGCACGTGCCAATGAGCTAGAAGACAGGCAAACATACACCGAATCCGTTACGCTAACCAACTGCAATTTTTTTAGTGCCTTTAAATGCGTAAGTAGTGGTTGTTGTACTGAGCAGAGACTGAGCCAACAGAATTAGGGTTTAGTTTAAAATAAAACTATTCAGCTGAGGTAGATCTCATTTTTAAGATGGAAGCAATCCAAGATCTAGACAATTTTTGGCTATCGGTTAGTCACTATGTGTACTGCTATCGAGCTTTCCCGATACATAAACGCTTATATTTTTAAACCATTAAAGTTATGAAATGATACGCATCTATTGCAACACCGGGTTCACAAGCTTCCCCTCTCTCCCGCATCCTTTTCAAGCTCTGCAATACCAAACGCACCGATTTCACAATGGAGGGTATCCCCCACTCCGTGCTGAGGAGCCTGTGGCTGTGCAGCTTCCCACTGGCGTCCACGTGTCTGTCCAGGACATCGACTCCAACCACGCTGGGGTTCATAGGATTTGGGTATTTCTGCATGGCAGCTGTCGTTACCGTTTCCCAGGGGTGACTGCCAAAACAGAATCAAGACACAAAGTTGTACAGCTTCGTTTTTTAACAGGATTTCTATTAAAAGTGAACACAACGCATCAATCAATTACTATTTTTAAAGCAGTTCAATTTCCAGTTCTCAACCTTACAAACAGCAGTGCTGGGTTAACGGTTGGACTTGATGATCTCAAAGGTCTTTTCCACCCTGAACGACGCTATGATTCTTTAAATGTCCTTCCCTAGAGGGAAACATCTGTTTCGTGGCTTGGACAGTGGTGCATGCAAATTAAGCCTACAGTACACCTGATTAATCAGGACTCCTGAGTTCAATTACCTTCTGGCTCATAATTTGATAAGAACATTCTCCTTGTGACACAACGCTGAAAGATTGCCATGTTTTTTCGGGTTTCAGTAATACTAGAGTAATTCACTAAGCCGTTACTTTCCTCTAACAAGCATTTCCTTCGGATTATTTCCCAACACAGGCGTTCCGGAGCGCCTCAGCAGGCTGCCGTCAGTCCTACCCTGGAAGGCGAGCACAGCACCACGACAGCCCCGGGTCGGCCCCGCACCGGTACGCCTGCCGCCTGCTCTGGTTCCTAAGCGCCTTCCA